CTGAACTGAAAGTTAGCCAGAGAAAGACAAATATCTTATGATATCACTTATATGTGGAATCTAAAAAAGAAATGATACAAATGAACTTATTAACAAAACAGAAATAGACCCACAGACATAGAAAACAATGTTACCAAAAGGGAAAGGACGGAGGAGGGATAAATTAGGACGTTGGGATTAACAGATACACACTACTGTAGATAAAACAGATAATCAATGAGGGCCTACTGCAGAGAACAGGGAACTATACTCAGTATTTTGTAATAACCTAGAAGGGAAAAGAATCTGAAAAAGAACTGAATCATTTTGCTGTACACCTGAAACTAACACATTTTAAATTAACTATACTTCAATTAAAAAAAAACAAAATGGGATACACAGAATTTTGTTAATCAGCTACATATGGATGTAGCAGCTAAAAGAAGTCCATTTAAATGGTAGGTGGCATTGTAAAGAAATAGATGTTTGTTGGGTAGTGGAAGAAACGTTGGTTCTTGCACCAGCAAACTAGGTCAAATCCCAGTTCTGCTAGTTTGGCCACTCAAATTCTGTGATCCTTAATTTTTTCTCAGAGTTGTTGTGATGTTTAAATGTGTTAATATGTCTAAGTTCCAAGTACTTGTGGGCAATAAATATGATCTAGAAAAGCTACCATTTAAAGTTAAATGGGTGGCCATGCCATTCCATTTTTCCCTAAAAAAGATGGTGCTTGAATTAATTCCAGGTGCCACACTTACAAGCAAAGTGGAGCTACTTCCAAAGACAGTGACCTGGATGGATGAGCAACTCCAGAGAGACCATGAAGAACTGCTGCAGGAACTTGGAATAGCTGGCTTGAAGAATAGTGAATTGGAGACCCTATCTACCTTCAAATACCTGACAGTCCTCCATGGCTTCCTGGAGGGCTGCTCCAAGACAGGAGAACTAACCTAGAAGATGGAAATTACAAGAATGTGGGCCAGGGTGACCACTTGGTGGGGATGTTGTGAGCAATTTCAGCACAAGTGAATGGTTGGACTACATGGCCTTAAACAAGACAGTCTGATTATCATCTTTCTAGGACACTTAGCATAAAGTGGTTCCTTCTACATTCTGCCTCATAGTAACCTAGAGTCTCCACTTTCTTGAGTTGAGCTGGTTTCTAGCTTTACAAGGATACCACCTTCACATCAACTCTAGGCCAAATCTCTTCTTTCTCCAATCTGTCTTCTTTGACCAGTTTACTGTTGTTGACCAGTTTATTGCATTTGTTTATAAATTTCTGGTTACTTGAAATGCCATCTTTCCCCAAACTATCCAAAGGACACAGAAAGGGGCATTTGTGAACATTTATTGGGAGATAGACCAGCAAAATGTGACTTTCTGGTTGCTGAAAAAGGTAAACGTGGGAATTAAGAACCTGAATTGAGCTCCAGAGTTGGAGCTGTGGATCAAGAAGTCGGGTGGGAGCCAGATTCCAGACGAAGCTTTTACAGAAAATTTAGCGTATTTGGGAGGAAGCAGAGACCAGAGGCCTTGAGCCTGCCAGCCTGCAAAAAGTACTCAAAAGTTGTCTGCTCACTAGATGACTTCTGTTTTCCAGAGGCAAAATAAGGCCTGGGCAGGTTGTTCAGTATCTCCAGCCTGTTCCAGATTGCAACTGGTAAAGTGCCTGAGGCAACGGAGAGGCTGTTCGCCTGTGGCCTGGCCAGGCCCATCCGCTCCCCTCCCAGGTGACCACAAGGAACCATTTTAATGTTTTTTTTTTCCGGCCTCTGTGCAGGGGAAAATTGGCGGCGCTCCGGTTGCCAGGGACGCCGCCGCCAGTTCGGCGCGGCTGGGGTGAAAGAGGATGCTGGAGGGAGGGGGCCGTCTCTCCTGACTGGCTAGGGCACGAAGGGTTATTTGCATAATACTCCCTGACAGCACCTGATTGGCTGAAGCTGGAGGGGCGGTGGTGGGGTGATTCCAAGGGCCGGGAGCTCTGGATCCCGACCTTTCCGTTCCGGAGTTACCCCTGTGGGCGTGAGTTCTTGTTCAGTCCCTGGGGGGACCGAGAAGGTCCGGTTTGGGAAGTTTTGCAGGCAGGTGCAAACTTACAGTGTTTAAGAAATGTGAAAGAAAAGGAGTCAAGAAACTGGGGGGATGGAGTGTGACCTCAACTCCAGAAGAAGGAAGGAAACAGCTCAGAGTGGGGAGTGGAGACCGAAAAGAAGGCATTAGAGGCTTTCTCTCAAGCTGGGGAGGGGTTTTGCTGGGATTCCTTTGCTAGATCACTTGAATTTCCGTTTTCTGAGAGTTAATATCACACTTTGCTAAAACTGGGAAGAAAAGAGGCAGGATTCCAGCATTTAGTAACTCAAATCTGAATACTAAATTTTCATCCAGAGGCATATGTACTTAAAATATCAAGCCGGTCTGTCATAGGGGACAGGATGCGTTTTAATTTGTAGATAATCAGTTATTGAAAACTGGATGTGTGTCTTTTTGTTTTTTGAGATTTCTTGTTGCAATGTTTTTTGTCTGTCATTGTGCATAAGGGCTTAAATTCAAGCTGGAGTATTTTGTACTCGCCAGTTGCCTAAGCATCCGGGGGCAGTGTGGAAGGGTCTGTGAATCATCATGAACCATTTTCACATGTTTAAGGTTTCTGACCCTTCATGTAAAAACCTTTAGACTATGAAAAGATCCTATACTAAGTACAATTTCACCTTTATACTTTACAGTTTACATAATAATTTTTATATCTATTATCTTATTCACCATTAACCAAAATTTGGCACAGTCCATGGGAGAAGCTCCATTTTATTGAGGAGGAAATTGGGGCTGGAAGAGTTTGTAAGTTTCCACATGTGTAAACAGAGGATGAGATTATTTTAATGCTTGAAATTTACATAATGCTTCTTTGGCCTACATTTTTCTTTCCACTGATTCTCCCAAAGACCCTGATAGGTTGAGCTGGTAACATGATTCCAGTTTTACAGATAAAAAACAAGGGCTATGATCTAGCATAACTAATAAGCCCTGGGAGGGGGGCTCCCAGGGCTGGGCTCTGTCTCCTCTGTCCCACCCTTGTAGCACCAGGTCAGATTTTCATTCAAAAGACAATTAGGAAGATGGTTTGCCGTGGGAAAAAATTAAATATAGATTATTAAAGTGAAAGGGGAAAAAATAAACTTATTTTGTGCTTCTCCCTTTTGGCACTTTTGTCCTGTGAAAAAAACAGTACTAAAAGCACCCTTAAAAGGTTTTAGAGAAAAGAGATTAAAAATTAGAAACTTGAGTCTTCTTGGATTATCTGTAGGACTGTTGGAGAACACTGTTGGATGAAGGACATGGCATGGGAATTGAGATGGGAAAAACAAAACTGAAAACGGGCTGTGGTTTAGAGTCTCAAACTGAAATTTAAGGTGCAAGACAGAAAAGTTAAATCCAACAATTTGGTACATAGTTTTAGGCCCTATTGAATGACCTTGCGTTTTAAGAACTATTTTTGGAAAGGAACATTTCAAACTGAGTGGCGGGATTTGGGCAAAAGTCAGGAATTTGGCTACATCTGATCGCCTGGAAGGCTGTGCAGATACAAGGATGGGTCGCTCTTCATCCCTTGGCAACGGATGTTACTGGAAATATTGCGAAAGACCCAGCCAGGAGGTAGGCAAAAGCCTCTGAGGCTCATCTCCCTGCCCCCACAGTAGGCCAAGGCCAGGGCCATGGCGGGAGCACCAAGCGTCCACGTGCAGCCGGCATGCCCCGTCACTCTTCTTTCACCCTTCTTACGTAAGAGTCTCGGGATGGAGTTGCTGCTACTGCGGGTCCCTTTTCCCCGACGGCTATTAATAAACCGGATTGGTAGTTTCCGGGCTACTGCCAGCATAGATGCGGGGTTGGGGGGGGGGGCTCACTTTACGACCAGGGCACCAGCAACTCGGTCTTCCCACCCCCGGAACATGAGCAAGGCCCACCCATCCCCCGCACTCCTGCCCGCCCACTGGCCAGAGGGGACGCCGGCCCCTCCTAAACCCACACAGCGCCTGACCTTCTCCCCCCCCCCCCAACACTGGCCTGCTCCGCACTCGGCGCTGGCGGGTGCGGCTGGCTGCTCCATCTCTCCTCTGCCCTGCCCTGCCACGGCGCCCTCCCTCCGCCCGGGTATCAGGCGAGAGGCGGGGCTGGCCCAGCACGCCCCGCCCCCGCTGTAGAAAGGGCCCAGAGAGTGTTACTCCCGGTCATCCTCAGCTTGGGCCTTTTATCTCGGCGCTGCCGGGGAGGCGGGAGGAGGAGACACAAGGGGTGGCCCTGAGCGTCGGCGACACCTTTCCAGGGCTCTATAAATTGAGCACCTGGGATGGGTAGGGGGCCCACGCCACCACCACCGCCCGCAGACACAGTTCGGCCACTGACCGCCGCAGCAGCCGCAAGCAGCAGCCGCCGGGAGCGGGAACACTGAGCTACCCAGCAGCAGGGGATCTCGAGGCGCCGGAGGAAGTGCGTGCCCTCTCCCCATTTCTGCCCGGTCTTCGGGGGTGCTTGGACTCCGGCTTTGCGGAGGGAGACGGGAGTGGGGAGCCCACTTTCTTTCTCTCGGAGGCACTGGGCGCGCTAGGAGGTGGGACCGCCTGATTGCTGGGAGCCACCCGGGCGCCGTCCCAGAGAAGCAGTAACCGGGGGGATGGGGGGGAGGGGCGGTGCGCGCAGGCGAGGGTACCGGGCACCCTAGCTGGGTGAATAATCTTCTCTTTCGTCCCCATCTTCCAAGCAGGCAAGGGCTCGACCCAGGGACCACGAGCTGATATCGCGAGCTTCCGGACGCCTAAGCCAGAAGTCGCGCATCCCGCAGGGCCGGGCTGCGATCGAGACGAGTTGGAGAAGGCGGAGGAGGAGCCGGGAATCCCGCCGCACCGGCAGTAGCCAGGCTCCCGGCGCGGGCCTCACAGAGCGCGTGAAGGCGGGCAGCCCCTCGCCCTAGCCGGCCATCCCGTGCCCCTGCGTCCCTGTGCTTCGGCGCCCACGCGGCCACCATGATGCAAATTTGCGACACCTACAACCAGAAGCACTCGCTCTTTAACGCCATGAATCGCTTCATCGGCGCCGTGAACAACATGGACCAGACGGTGATGGTGCCCAGTCTGCTGCGCGACGTGCCGCTGGCCGAGCCCGAGCTGGACAACGACGTCGGCGTGGAGGTAGGCGGCAGCGGCGGCTGCCTGGAGGAGCGCACGCCCCCGGCCCCCAGCCCGGGCAGCGCCAATGGCAGCTTTTTCGCGCCCACCCGGGACATGTACAGCCACTACGTGCTGCTCAAGTCCATCCGCAACGACATCGAGTGGGGAGTCCTACACCAGCCGCCTGCGGCGGGGAGCGAGGAGGGGAGCGCCTGGAAGTCCAAGGACATCCTGGTGGACCTGAGCAACCTGGAGGGCGCGGACGCCGGCGAGGAGGACCTGGAACAGCAGTTCCACTACCACCTGCGAGGGCTGCACACTGTGCTCTCCAAACTCACGCGCAAAGCCAACATCCTCACTAACAGATACAAGCAGGAGATCGGCTTCAGCAATTGGGGGCACTGAGGCGGGTCGCCCGCGGCTGTCCCGCACCCTTCCTGGTCCCATCTCTCACCCTCTCTCTTTCCTTAAAGCTATTTTCTTTCTGGCTCTAGGGCGCGATGGGCGGACTGCAAAGTTGGGGGGCTGCGTACATGCTGGGGGCGCAGCAGGGCAGCATGGAGGAAGGGGCTTCTTTGGCGAGAGCAGAGAGGAAAGTGGTGGCCAAAGAGGTGGGATAGTGCTCAAGGACTTCCTTCTCTCCCCCGGCGGGGTCGGGCGGAGTTGGGGGAATGAGGGGGCTGTGTTCTACTTTGGTGGGAATGGGCCTGAGTTGACGCCCTGCATTCAGTCTGTGCCTTTCCTGGAGTTTCTTTTCTTTCCGGAGGAGAAGGGCCGAGAATAGGCCATTCCGGGGCGCGGCGCTGGGTTGCCACACTTGGGAGCGCTGCCCGGAGCTGGGCGCTGGGGAAGGCGGGGCGATTGCGCAGCCTCCCGCCGCCCTGCCGTAGGGCTGGTGGAGGCAGCAGTGTTGCTAAGGTTGCATCAGTTTTCCTGTAACAGTGGCCCCGTCCTAAGTATTTCGAATCTCCTCCTTGCTCTGAAACTTCGGCGATTCCATTGTGATAGGCGCACAAACAGCACTGTGTCGGTAACCGGTACTAGTTTATTAATGATTTTCTGTTACACTGTATAGTTGTCCTGTGGCACCTCTATCCCATCCCTTTCACACCACCCCCACCCCAGTATGTGTAAGCTGGCACGGTGCCAGCTTGTAGGATGCTTGCCACTTGGTGAAAATAATAACATTGTTATGAGAAAGTGGACTTACCCAAGATGGAACCAACTGACATTCTATCCATGTTGTACATAGAATGATGAAGGGTTCCACTGTTGTTATATGTCTTAAATTTATTTAAAACTTTTTTAATCCAGATGTAGACTATATTCTAAAAAATAAAAAAAAGCAAATGTGTTAACGAAACTTGACAAAAGTTTGTTGCTTTCTAATCTGCCAATGAATGGCTTAGTCTTTAAATAAAAATAAACTTTTTTTTTTTTAGCAAAAGCTAATTTTATTTTTCTCTGGTATTTCAAAGTGGTAAATAATCACCTTTGTAAGTATTCAGCTTTGTTTGGGAGGAAGCTACCAACAAGATTTACTTCCAAGCTTTTTCTTTCTAATTCAATACCAAGGTAAGTCTCAACAAAAAGTTCATAAATACCCAGAGTATTTATGGGAAGGTACATATATTAGAGTTTTCAACCAACTTGACTAGCTTATCAGAGTGCTTAGTTAACATTTTGAATTTTTCTAGAGACTCAAGCACACATTATGCATTTTGAGGCCTAGCCACTTATCTTAAAGGCAGAAATTTCACTTGGCTACTGAGAGGTAAAAATTGGAAGAACAACACTAGCTAATACTAGTGCACACACCTTTCAGGTCTTGTATTTACCAGTCTTCTATGTTAATCTTAGGAGAGACTTAAATGTTTTATAACACTCGCTGTGGCCTCTTGGACTATTCCCAGTGAAGTGCTAAGCTTTGTGAAGCTGTGTCCAGCAATGCTTCCAGTTTTTCAGGGAGTCAGTCTGTGGCTGTGGACAGCAGATCTGAGCAAGACTGCAGCAGGGCCCTTCCGAACACTTAGATGCCATTATGCTGCTCTTCTAGGATGGTGGAATAGGTGAAACAATGCTCTGTGTTTTATATTTCATGATTTGTTTAGGCGGGCATAAGTATTAGATCAACTTCAATTTTCGATCTTGGGAGTCATGAGATATTCTCTAAGCTCACAGAGCTTGAATTTAAAATACATGTAACTTTGAAGTTAAAAAAAAAAGCAAGTTTTTTCGTGCTGTGGGTAGCTCAAGCCTATTATCAGTTTTTAGCAGCCGTGAAAAAATGGGGAAGTGTCAAGGCTGGTTCCTGTGTTGCCAGAGAAAGTTAATGGTTAATACATAAAGATAAGCTAAGCAGCACCAGAAGGAAGGTATATGGCCTCTTAACCTTGTATCCCCTTGAAAATATCAAAGTGCAAGCAAAAAATACAAAAAAAGGAAACTACAGAAGCCAAGTGGTAGAAATACCAAGACTTGGAGCCAGGAATTTGTGTGTTCAAGTCCTCTTGTTATAGTATTTAACTCTCCAAGCTTGTTGCCACATTTGAAATTAGACATAATAATAATACAAGATTTATTTCATGGAGTTGGAGCAAGAATGAAAGGAGATTGTATATGGAATGTGTGCTGCTTGGAAGTTTCTTTAGGCACTACAGAAGGGCACTAGAGGTTCTTTCCAGCTCTCTGAATGTTGCTTCGTATCTTCGTCTCCCTCCTTGCCCTTCTCAAGGGATATATGAACCTTAGAACAATATATTCACTTTAAGGAAAAGCATAATTTCCATTACATACATGAAACCACAGGTAAACTCTTTCCCTTCTCAAAGTCTCAGGGAAGAGACTGAATTAAAATCAAATTGTCATGGTTTAGGCAAGGGATAGCAAGAACTTTATGAGATGTTAAAAGGTTTTCAGAACATTCTTGTATTCAGAATACAGAAAGGCAGATGTTGATAGGAAAACTAAACTATAAATAAAGCTGTTAACTTTATTTTTGAAAATATTCATGGAGAGTATTTTTTATATAAATAGTGATGCTGACCTAGGAGTAGTAATGATCACTGTTAAAAGAGGGTTGGATTTTTTTCATGAACCAGTAAGATTTCCCAGGCCCAATAAGTGTTATTCCATTGATAAAACTATTCAAGTTTGGTTTATGCAATAATGCAAGATCAAATCCCTTTGACCAGATTTACCTGTTAAATTTTCTCAAGCCATTTAAATTTTTGTTTAACTTCTAAGGTCAAGTGATAAGTGAATATATTTTTAGGTCTTTCCTGAGGAAGCTCAAAGTACTTTATAGATTTTAAAAGTTGCAAACACTACATGGCCCCTCCTTCAAAGAGCTCTCAGAGATCTGAGAGCTGTTGTTGTCTACTAGTGCCCATCTCGGTAGCAATTTGGGACTAAAGGGAAGGCAGGGGGTAGATGAACTAGGCAAAAAGGAACAGCTTAGGTGGGAATTGATTACCCTCCAGATATTTACATTTGATAAGCATTTTCTACATCAAAACCTCACACCAAAGCCTTTGAGAAGGCCTGTTTTTACCTCTCAAAACAGCTTTCTGCTTTGCTCACACAGGGCTTTTGGGGTTTTACATTTACACAGTGTTCCTTAGTGGTCTGGTCTGATTTAATCTTTCTCTGAACCTGAACCCACTGTTAGCATGTCACAGCTACAGGGATTATCCTTCTTTGGACCAATTTGAAAACTAGTCTACTGTTAACAATTGTTTTAAAAAATGAAAGTCATTTGCATATGCCTCCTCATTTTTAGCTGCTGAACAAAAATCTTTTGGGAGATGGCAGTTCATCTTCTTCCCCCCTCACCCCACTCCTTCTCTTATTCTGTGAGTCTCAGATATTTGCAAATTTTACACAGTCCTAATGGACTGAGAGCTCAAATTTTATATACCTTCCCCCCCCACCAGAGGTAATTATCTTTCTATGGGACATCTAGTACATTTATACCAATCCTTGTGAGATATATTTTGAAGAATTCTGAACAAAATGACAGAAAGCATGTTTTGTTTAAAATTCTAAAGGTAATTTTCACCCCAACAAATAAAAAAATTCTGGATCAGAAACATATGAAAATTATAAACATGCGGACGATTGGTCTCTTAAAATGAGTATTAATCTTTTTAAAATTTCAAACATTTTGTAGTTTCTGATCAAGGCTAAGTTGCTTTAATTAGCAAGATAATTTCAACTTAAAATTATTAAAAAAATTTTTTTTGTTTCAATTTTTTTTAATCATTAAAGGAATTTTAGAGGTGTTCTTGAGTTACTCTAAACATTAGGCCTCCAGTTAGTTCACCTAAAACTTTGTAGAACTTTCTGATAAGTGGTGGAAATAATGATAGTGTGTGACCAATAAGGGCTTCCCTGGTGGCTCAGTGGTAAAGAATCCACCTGCCAATGCAGGAGACATGGGTTCGATCCCTGAGTCTGATCCCTGGGTTGGGAAGATTCCCTGGAGAAGGAAATGGCAACCCACTCCAGCGTTCTTGCCTGGAAAAATCCCATGGATTTTCCTCTTGGGCTACAGTCCATGAGGTCACAAAAGAGTTGGACACGACTTAGTGACGAAACAGCAACATGACCAATGTAACTATTCCTGTATCTGGAAGCCAGTACTGTTTGGCCTTTGCCTCATGCAACCAGGGCTCCTTCCTTGGACCCTCCACTTTAGAGGGCCCTCATGGTGATTCTTTGTAAGGCCTTTCGATTCCCCTTGGGTAAGGAATCTTCAGGACCAACAGAGTGCCCAGAGCTTGTGCCCTTCATCTATAACACACTTGGTCCTGTCCAGCTGGCGCTGAGCCCATTGCAGAGATTTCATATGCATTTGCCCTAAGTTTATCCTCCCAATAGTGGACATGTTTAGTTGATGGACAGGGCTTGGCCATGTAAGCTGGGCTATCCAAGGATGGCGCTTAGGTGGAAAGATAAGAAGGTGGAATGGAGGCTGGAAGTTCCCGTTTATTATTCTCTTGTCTTGGCCTCCCTGGGTTTCAGGGTGAACAAGTGTTTTGAAAGCCTGCAGAAAGGAAATAAGAAGTGAAAGCAGCTCAAGCTTTTAGGCCTCTTCCAGTATTGACAAATGGAGATTCCATGGTTCTTCTATTTTCCACATCCCTCAGGAGTTTCCTTGCTCCACTGAGAGAATGTTATTTAATTAATGAAATGCTGGTTAAGGAAAAGGAAAACTACATTGATATACAGGCCTTTTCCAGCTGCTTGCTATTCTGTGCTTGAACTGTGGTAATTATGGTAAAGACCCAGATGGATACATCTTCCATAAAACCATGAAGACTTCACCTCCTTAAATATTCTTTTTTTTTGGTTTTATTATTTTTATTATTGAGTTAGCTGTTTTCTTTTTAGTGTCAAAAGTC